GAGAGCACTGCGCGGATTGTCCCTGTGCGCCGTCGGATGCCTTAGAGGAGGTTCAGGAATGGCATCCCCCGTTTTCTTGCCCCTTTTCGGGTTTTTCTGCCCTTTAACCAGCCCTGTTGCCGCAGGACCTGGGATAATTCATGTGGGAAGGGACCTAGTCCAGGTGTCTTTCTTATGTTCTTCTCTGTCCCATTATCCACCCCTCTCTGAGTTGAAGTCTGGATTGCATGGATGTGCATGGGAATGCTCCTTTCTGGAGCAGAGAGGATGCTGCCTCTGGCTGCCTCTGCAGCTGCATTTCCAGTGTACTCCAGTATCAGTCCAGAACAGGGCTCAGACTCTGTACCTAGCCAGCAATTAATTCACTGCTTCTCAAACATTTCCACTTTATGATTATTTCCTTTCCTCTTTCAGACTTCCAGATGCACAGAGCATCATGATGTCTACTGAGAACACCTCTTTGAACCATTTTGTTGCCAGGTTCTTCCTCTTCTGCAGTCCCTCACTTTTAGTGCTTCTTTGTCATGTTCATCTTTTATGGATGTCTGTACTCCAGGCTTTGACAGGAGGTTGCTGAGGGTTTGAAAAAACAGTGAGTACTAGATTTACATCCATAACAAACCACTTGATAATCAGCCTACATGAATTCTTGGCTTAAGTGCCTTCCTGTGGTCTGTAATGAGTAGGGATTTGAGACCAAAACCCAAATCACAATGAGTCATAGTAGGGTGATGGTGAAGGTCTGAAGATAACACACACTCCTGTAATGTTTGTGGAACTTCAGAGATCTCCACAGGCCCCTCCAATCTAAATTATTTCACAATTTTAAGAAAGGGGTGGATGGGTGGGAAGCACCAGTGACTATGAACTACTTATTTAAGTAAGAGACTGAGATGTGATAATCTGCTAAAACTTCCCTTTTCCTTTCAGTTTGGCAGGGCCCTGTGTCACTTAGCACTGGCCATGAGGAACAATGCCAGACATTTGCTGCTGGGAACAAGAGGAAATCTGTTCAGCTGAGGCCTCTGAAGGTACTTAGCAGGAGCTGGAAGATACAAATAGGGAAAATGAGGGGCACAGATTAAGGAAATTTATAGGAGGAAAAGGAACTACAGGTTGGGGATGAGGAAAACTCCCTTCTTCTGACTCTGTAGGTGCTGAGTCTTGGGGTTCCCTATAACTTTCTTGTTCCTTTAGCCTGTCAACTCGGTGTGCTTAAGTGATTTTCTGGCAACAGATCTGGAGAGTGAGACAGGAGCCAAAACAGAAACACAGCAGGAAGTAAAGGAGCAAACAGAAAGGAGGTTTGTGGACAGGTACTTGAAATGTGCTGTTCTTTAAATGCCAGGAAAGTGGATCAGATTTAGGGCCAGAAAAAGGAGAGAGAGTGGTGAGAAATGTTGAAAAAAGGGAAGTTTGCTATTGCTGGTCCTTCTACCACATGTTCAAAGCACAAACAGTCCAAAGTAGAATGAAGGCACTGTGTCTCCCTGGGGTGCTTTGTTAATGGTAGGAGATTTGGCTTCTGGCAGTTTGTACTGTCTGTGCTGCAGCTCTTGCCCCAAACTTGGTGAGGCAATGCTTGTGTTACTGCCATTACCTGTGTGTCTCACAGAGTCTGAGTCAACAACGTGTTGCTGCATCAGCACGGGGAGAAGGTGCTGAGCAAGACACTGGCTTTACAATGTTGTGGCAGAAAAGAAATTTTGCTGGGTAAAAAGGGACAATCAATTCCCTTTTTCAATTCTGCCAGCCTCCCCTCCAAGAGACACATTTACAAGCGAGGGAAGAGCCCACATTCTCTCAAAGCCCAAACCTCATGAGGGCTGAGGGAGCCCAACTTTGCGCTGACGAAGAAAGACACAAGACAGGAGTTTCAGCGAACTACAGACACCCCAGTGTTTATTAACTCCAGATTAGTGGGATAGGCACAACGCTGCATCCACGGGATCTCTCCCCACACTCTAAGCTTGTTCCTTCAGCCTCTTGAGCAGCTCCCGCAGCTGCTCGATCTGGGCGGACACGCTGCTCTTGGCGGTGCCGCCCGTGGCCGTGTACTGCTCCACGCTGCTGACCACGCTGAACACCTGGGACACGTCGCTGCCAAACAGGGGGCTGGGGGCAAAGGGAGGGCGGTCAGTGCACAGCACGGGGGGCTCTGGGCTGCTTTATGTGCTCTGTGGCTGCAGAGAGGGCGCAGGAGTGAGAGCAGAGCAGGGGAAAGGCCTCCTGCAGCCCTGTTTCTGCAGAGCCTGACAGAAGCTGCTGGTGGCAGACCAAAGAGTCAGCTCTAAGGGGAGATGGAGGAAGTTCAGAGCCAAGCCCCTCAGGGGACTGGTGCCTCTAGGGCAGGGCATGAGTTTCTCCCAGTCCCTCCCAAGAGCTGATGCACGTGTCCAGCTGCAGCAGAATGGAAGCAATGTTGTCCCCCTTCAGTGTTTTCAGTCCCAGCAGGAACAGCCTTGGTATTCAGGCCAGGAGGATTTTGGGGTGCTGCCTGGCCCAGGCACTTTGGGGAAGGGCTCATTCCCAGGGAGGTTGATCCGTGTCTGTGGAGGGAAGTCAAGGCAAGGTAACAGTGACACAAACCTGATGCTCTTCAGGTCCTCCAGGCTGAGGTTATTGATGGTGGTGCCTTTGGTCTCGGCGAGGTGGACGGCCTTGCCAGCGGCGATGTGGGCTTGTCTGAACGGCATCTGCAGTGAGAAGCAGAGGTTGCATTCAGTGACCAGGCAACTGGGGTGCTTTTCAGTGAAAAAAAATTGGATGTGCTGTCATTTTTGGGTGGCCTGTTTTCCCTTAAGGCAATCCGAATCCAGGTTTTCTGAGGTGGAAGAGGGGAGGCTTTAGGAGGTAACACTCCACCTGTAAATTACTATCAAGCCCCGCCCTGGCAGCAGTTCCACTGCTTGGGATACATGTAAGGAATGCATTTCCAGCTTTTGTGTTTGTTGAGCCAGACTGCTCATGACCTGGGGACAGAACAGAAGGCCTTATCTCAGGGCCTCAATATGCAGCACTCTGCATCCAGAGAAATCACAGCTCCAAGTCTCTGATACTTACTCCTTTATGAACCAAGTAGAGAGCCAGGTCAGATGACAGGATCTCGGGGCTCAGTGCCTTCTCCATGTTCTCCTTGTTGATCTGCAGAAGGGAGGTGAGAGGGAGGTGTTATCATCAGCTCCTCTTTGGGGACACATTGGCTGACAGTGGGGGCCATAGTGAGCAATATGGGCAAGGCAGCCAAGAGCCTTCATCTCAGGACCAGGCTGGAGCTCTGTTTCCTGTGTCACTCACAGAATGTGCACCATGACCATGTTCAGTAGTATAGACTGAACTGACCTGGAGGGTCGAAATCACTCCTGTGGCAACCTGGAGCACAGCATTCAGGGTGTCTACAACATCAAAGACGGCCTCCTTGTCCTCCTGTGTCAGAACAGGGATGGAAATGGCTGTAAGTCAACCTGATAAGAGCCCAAGAGGCTGAGCAGCCCAGCCAGCAGAGATGTGTCATCCCAGAGGCTCCTGCCATGGCCACAGTGTCACCTGCAGCACTGCAGTGCCTCAGCCCCTTTCCCAGCACCCTGCACCCAGGCAGGGGCTGTGCAGGGAAATGGAGTGACAGGACAGCTCAACAGTAGTGGACAACTGTGTCTGCAGAGATGGTGTGAAAACTAACAAGTGCTTTACCTGCAGGTCCTTGTTGTAAGTGCTGGGGAGTCCTTTGAGGACCATGAGAATAGCAGCCAACTGCAGAAAGAAACAGGCAGGGCAGTGAGTTACAGAGCCAGGCACATCCCCCAGCACAGGTTCAGAGCCCAGACTGGGCACTGCTCTTTATGCAGAGGGAGAAGGAAGATGCTTCAGCCCTGGCAGGAGCAGTTTCCCCTCCCACTTGCTTCTCTCTCAGGCTCACCCGTCCGAACACTCGTCCAGCTTTGCTGCGGATCAGTTCCAGACTGTCAGGATTCTTCTTCTGAGGCATCAGGCTGCTGCCAGAGCTGCAAGGAAGGTGTTTGGAGTGCAGTGGTGAGTCAGATCTCCATCCATACAGACACAGGCCATGCATCACTACTGACCCAGCCTTCCAAAAGAACATGTGGGCCACCTTTCCTTGTACAGCTCTTTATGGTGCAGGAAAGCAGTGAACTGAGTGTCGAGTTTCTCATGTTTCCCACAGCAAAGCCTTTGGTTTTGCAACTTGTCTGGAGCAGCCACACAGTCCCACCTCCCAAAGAGGAAGGAAAAAGGAGGCTCCCCCTCCACGGCCCTGCAGAGGTGGTTTCTGCAGGCCAGCCTAAGTGATCTCAGGGAGGGAGGGTTGTGGTTGTGCCACTCTGAGAGACAAGGAGTCTGTTGGGATTGCAAACCTGACTAGTCAAGGAAGGGCTTTGGCAGCATTCCCAGCTGAGGAGGAAGTTCTCTCTGCCAGCAGTTGCCAGGGAGGAGTCGCTGGGCTGAACTCAGACTTGGATGAGTTACCAGAATGAGAAATAAGTGACCACTGCTGAGGAATATTCCCCCTGAGGCTGCCTTTGTGCCAGCCTTTTAATGCTGTGTCAGCCTTGTGCACAGAGAGAACCCAACCACTGCCCCACACTCTCAGGTGAGGACAGCTAAGGAGAATTACATCACAGAGACCAGAAACCTACCAGTAGGTATCAGAGAGGGTCAGAAAGCCAAACTCGCTGGTGCTGTAGATGATGAGATCCTCTGCCATCTTGCTAAGGTGGATCATCAGCAGGGTGGCAACAGACAGGAATTCCACTGCAGAGAAGGCAGGAAATCAGCAGGGGGAAAAGGTGCTGGTTTGTTTGACAACCCAGGGAGCCCTGACTAGAGCTTTGTTTCCTGATGGTGGATTTCAGTGCCCTTATTAAAGGTTAACTGGAAAGGCCTCAGAACCTGCTTCTAAGAGTGCTGGGAAGAAGTGATGGAGTTGTGCTTACCCACAAAGTCTCTCTCACTAACAGCATCCATGCTGTTCAGGCTGATGGAAGCAAAGTCCAGCTCTGTAAGGAAGGTGATGGACACAGGAGGTCAGGCTTGGCATGACAGGAGCTTGAATGCCCCAGGATGCCCAAGTGTGCAGGTGACTGTGAGCCCTGGAGTGGTCCCAGGAACACAAACATGCTCTAATGTTGCACCATCTGGGGTCTTTACTGTGAGCCCAGACAGCCAGTGTGCAGCAGGGGTGGCTCTTCCTCCTCCCACCTCACAGGCATTGCCTGTCTCATTGCAGCAGAAAGCCTGAAGGAGGAAAGGCTTAGTCTCCAGGACAGGGCATTACAGTGCCATTGGGAGCCCTGTGTCAATGCTTCCCTCCCTCCTAGTTATTACAGGTAGTTCTCAGCCCCTCAACCACAGGGAGACATTTACCACTGCGCAGAAGCTCTCTATCAATCTCCAGTGGGTTGCCAGCCAGAGCACCACTGCCAGGGGAGAAAGAAACAGGAGTCACGCAAGATACTTTGCATATCTCATCCAAAACTGAGCTCTAAGAAGCAGGGAAGGCACCTCTGAAGACTTTGCAGGGCAAAGCAAGGCCGACTGATTACACAAAGAGTAGATCTTACCTTCCCAAAGGCAGGACGTTGATCCTCTTTTTTATCTCTCCCAGGCGCTCAGAGTCACGGGTCAGAGCAACAGCATGGCTGGGGAAGGACAAGGGAGATGGAGCACATGAAATCAGAGAATGTCTCTTTCCTTTCCAATCTCTACTCTGTCATGCCTGGAGCCTGGGATCCCCTCTCCAACAAGAGGGTGGAATGAAGCCAAGGCACTAAGGCCTTAGCTGGACAGGCAGCAGAACACAAGATTCTCCGTGTTACCTCATCAGCCAGGGTGTAACTGTGGCCAAAGGATGGAGAGCAGGGAGTTGGTCACCACTGCCCAACCCCTGCTGGGTTCCCAGTTGGTCAGAGCCACACAGGAACATGGGGAGGTCCTGTCCCAGTCTGCAGGTTTCCCTCTGGTTTGTCCCCACCCCCTCAGAGGGGGATGCACTCCTGGGCTCCAGCAGAGCAGGGCCCCGAGGCTGGAGAAGGCTCCTCTAGCCAGGGCTGGAAGGTGCTGACCTGAGCAAGAACTGGCTCCATCGGATGGGCTGAGCTTTCTGCAGGTGGGTGTAGCCAGGCAGGATGACATCGATTTCTCTGCGTGGCAAAGGAGAGAAGGAGGTGAGAGCAGCTGCCAGGATGGAGGGCAGGGGCAGGGCTGTAACTCCCCCCTGCTGCTGCCCCACTGGGGTCAGTCAAAGAACAAGCCTAAGGTCTCCTGGCCCAGCAAGACCATGGATTTGGAGAAGGACTTACATGGCAGCACGTTCCACCAGGGTCTTAATGAGCTGCAGGAGGTGTGTGGAGATGATGGAGAGGGAATTCTTCATGAACAGCTTCAAGTCAGTCACAACCTGGGTGAGATTGGCCACGGTCAGACAACACAGAATGTGACACGTGGTGACTGCCCACTTTTACTGCAAAGTAAACCCCTCCTTGTCTTGGGTGATGGGAAGGTGCATCTTCTCATCATTTGGTCATATTTATGTGGTGATGTCACTATTTCTTGCTCTCCAGGAAGAGTTCCAAAGGCCATGCTGGTCTGAGGTCTCCTGATATGAGGAGGGGGGGGAATACAGGAGGAAAAAAAGTGATTCTGTACATACCTGATCATTCCTGCTTCTTCCAGTGTGCAACTTTCCAGCTACATCTCCAATCAGCTCCTGAGGACAAGAGGAGGATTTCTATCAGTATCTCTTTATTTTAAGCAAGAGACTCCATGAGCAGATCTTCTCCCTGCCTGTGAGTAGCCATGGGATGTGTTCTGGGGAAGGGCAGGTTTGGGTTCTGTGTTTGTACAGTGGCACTTCCATGGAAGGGGGCTTGGAGACACTGGCCTGTGCACTTGGGGTCCAGAGGAATTTCACAGAGGGACAGAGGCACATGCCCTTAACATCAGGCAGGGCCAGCTACAGAGGAACAGGAACAAGAGATTAGAGAACCCAAACCTTTAGCCTGCGTTCGTTGGCAGTGTGGATGTCCTCATCAGTTTGGATCACACCAAAGACTCCTTTGGACCATTCCTCAGAGATCTACAAACACCAGCAGAAACACCAGTCAGCTACAACAGTTACCCTGCTGGGGGGGGGGCTGTAAGGGTCCCCAGCAAATTCCTGCCATCCCCATGAAAATTTAACCCCAAAGAGTTGTTAAGTCTCATGTGAGCTCTGGTATTCAGGCCAAGGCTGGCTGCTTGCTGTATCCTGTACTGCTGGGATTCATCTCTCTACCCATGGCAATCCTGCAGTGTTATGGCTCTAGGAGGATTTAAGCATTGCAAGGAAGAAGTGAGCCAAAAGGTCAGTGATTGCTTTAGCATTGTCCACAAAGGTTTTCCTATAAAACATTGTGCAGACTCACCGTTGTCCGTGGTGGGTGAGGAACAACAATGGATATTTTAAGAAAAGCGTTTCGCTGCTGACTCCTCTTCCCCCCTACACATGCTATGCATTGCCTCCTACCAGAGCGCAGCCAGACTCTAAAGGATCCCATGTGCCAGCAGGAAAAGAATGTTCTTACTCCATACTGAAATGATTCCTAGTGAATGTTCAGTCTGAAGATGATGGGACACGAGGACATTTAAGGATGCTCTTTAGAACAGCAGCTCAGATGCTGTCAGGTACGGAGCCATTCTTTCCAGCACACATCACAGTTTGTGAAGGAGAGACATACCTTTTCCAGGCCACTCAGGATCTTCTCCAGCTCAGTTTTAGACAGGATTCCAGCCTTCTCCAAGGCTTTGGCATAAGCCATGCTCCCCTGAATATCAACTTCAGACAGTCTCTGATCAACAGTAATGGAAGCGCTGAGCATCTCCATGATTGGATCTGTGCTTCCAACAAACCTTCCTGCCATCATTTTATCCCCCTGCAAGT